AGGCACCGAGGTGAACTCGAGGGCGTAGAGCCCAGCGTATGTATATGTATAGTGTGTCCACTCCGATAGGCCGCTCCGCCGCTTCACGATAGACGCGCTCGCTGCTGCGGCCGATGCGGCATTGTTTGCTGGGGAGGGCGTTAGCTCGGGACGAGGCCACCCCGGCCACCCCACGCGGCCGAGGCGCTGACCGCGGGCCGCTCAGGAGGTCCCCGCCGAGGCCCTGTGCTGCGCTGGTGCGCCCCCGGAACCTCTCGGGGCGCTGTTGGCGCTGGCGTGGCCGAGGTCTGTGCTGGTGCGCACCCCCGGGGGACCCTCTGGGTGGGATGCTGGCGGCCGGCGAGCCCAACGGTGGCCCCCTTCCAGGGGCTGCTGCTTGTCCTCGAGTTCGTCCTCGAGTCAGTCTGGCGCCCCGGCCCGGCACCGCCCCCGCGGGGGCCACCGCTGCACCAGCAGGTCATCGCTGGTGTTTGTCGAGTCGGCCCGGCCTTCGACGGGGCTGCTGCTGCTACTGCTGATGCATGTGACAACTATAAAAGCCATTTTCATTGTGTTCCATTGTGAATCACTTATCGGCGTATGCCCCCCGGCGCGCCCCGTGCCCCACACGACACGCCCTCCCGGTATCGAATATTTCGCGGCGATAACCCCCAGCGCGGTGTCATCACCCCGCCGCCGCCAGAGGGCCCCGGCCCCGCCAGGGCCCCGCCGCCGCCAGGGCCTACGAGGTCAGGTTACTCTTGGCCAGGATTACACCGTGTGGCCAGGATGCAGGCCGACACACTCCGGAGGAGCAGAGCTGCGCTGCGCCCGGTGTGCTGCCCTGCGGGAGGCGGCATCGGTGGTGCCCTACCGTCTTCTGCCCTGACACTGTTGTCTTGATGTAATCTTATCTCCGCTCTTCCCTCTCTGTCGGCGAAGCTCAGCCTGTCTCGCTCTCTGTCCAGCACAGCTGACTCCCCCGCACCATGGCGGCGGTCGGCTTGTCGTCAAGCAGGCGTGCGGCGCGGGGGGCTGGACCACGCCCCCCGCCGCGCGGACCCGGGGCCGCGGGGGAGGCGGTCGCAGAAGTGGGGCTCGCGCGGGGGCCCGCTCCCCCTCCCCGGCCTCGCTCCCGGCAGTGTAGTGCTGCTGCTGCTGCTCCTCACTCCTTCCGCTTTGATAAAATGTACGGCGGGGCCGATGCCGATCCAATCGGCCACCGAGCTTGCCCGAGCGAGCGCACCACCACGGCGGCGGCTTGTATACGTGAGAGCCGACAGACAACCCCCGTCAGCAGCGGGGCGCAGGGCGCGTGCTGGCCACCGGCCACCGGGACCAACCCCCGGAGCTCGGTGTGGAGCGCGCGGGGCCTCGTAGGCGTCCAGCCCGGACCTACGCCGGCAGACGTGCACACAAAGTACTGAAGTCTTCTGGACGTACTTTGTTGGGCATGGCGTGGTCACGGCGGGCGCGGCGCGGGGGCCACTGACCCCCGGGCGCGGGGCGGCCGCCGGGCCGCAGCCAGGCCATGACCATTATACTCCTCCTCGGTTCCGCCCCTGCTGCCTCTCCTTCCCTTTGCCCTCGCCATTTTCAGTAGTCAGAGTCCATCTTTAGGTCGGAGATGGTTGAGCAACGGCTTGCTGCTCAGATCATGATTGGTAATTGCATCGAATAATACTTTTCGTCGCGACTAGAGAGAGGGAGAGAGCGTGGTGTGTGAGAGGGGGTGAGAGAGCGAGAGAGAGACCCAATTAAAGTGAGGAAGGGAGCGAGCGGGTAAAGAGAAAAAGAGAGTCTTTGGATCCCTCACGCGGGCTGGCTGATGCGGGTCAAAGACCGTCCACTCATTAGTTCGGCGTTAGGGCGTGTCTACGGGTTATTTATGAACCGTTGCAAGTGCTGCAAGTGCGTGTCTGCTGCCCCAGCTGGTCCCGGCGTGCGCCGCCCTCCTGCCTTGTTCCCGTCGTCGTGTCGAACTCGATGCGTCGGGTGCGATGTCGCGGCTGGACGTTGTCACGTCAGCGCGGCTCCCCCTCTGACGTGCGCGCACGGCCTCGGGGTGGGTCCCGGTGTTTGAAGTTTGCACTCGTCGGCGTGATGGCAGAGGCCGCCCGGCGCCCTTGCGCAGGGGTGGACCGTTACGGGCGGCGCCGACGGGCGGGTCGGCTGCGTGAGGACTTGGCCGTGACCGTCACGTGGGGGCTCTCCGCGAGGCTCTCCCTGGCCGCGGCCGCGAGGTCCTGCAGGGGCCTAGACCAACCGCCTGAGCTTTTAGAGCTACGTGCCGCGTTGTATGAGGCCCTCGCCGGTGCCCATGGCCCGGGCTCTGGACGCTGGTTTGCGCAAACATTTCCACCACGCCTCTTGTTTGCGGGAGCCTAGGAGCCTTGTGCTTGTCGTGTTGTTGCCTCTCTCACTGGTCCGCGCCGCGGTTACTTTCCGTGCGTCCCGCGCGTGGTCCGTCCGTTTTTAGGTTGACGGCATGGGAGGGGGGCGGCGGACAGAGAGAGAGAGCGAGGGAGATAGGGTGCGGCGTGCGGCAGCGGGGAAGGCAAGTAGTAGTATATAGTAGTTGGGCGCCGCCGAGGGCGCCCGCACGGGTGTGTCTTTGCGCGTGGTGCAAATGGATCTCGATACCGTATCACGACACAATCAGCTGACGAAGGGGCGGCACGCCGCCGCGGGGCGTGGTCCCTCGGCTCGGGTGGGGTAGGCCATGGCCGGGCCCGGGCCCGGGCCTCTTCACGCGGCATCGCGATAACCGCAATCTAGCCGGCTCGCATTTCCCCGAGAGGTCAATTGATTCATCTATTTACGTCCCGCGTTGATGTTTTGGCGCGGCGCGAATATTCCCGCATGGCCGGCCGGCCCGGCCGGCCTACCGCGGCCGCGAGCGCGGGACAGCAGCGCGGAGCCGCGGGCCGCGGGCCGCGGGGGGCGCCGCTGGGGTAGGCAACCCATTCTGCACCGTGGCGCGGCGCGTGGCCGACGTAGGAGTCTGCAGGCTGACGGGCCGGCTGAAGGGTTGGCGTTGCATGGAGGTGTGTAGGCTGAGGGCTGACGGTGCATGACCGTGCATGACGGTGTGGCTGACGGACTGACGGCGACGGATTACCACGGAAGGCGGCTACTGGCCGCTGGCTGGTCATCATACTCGTGATAATAATCCCGTGATCAATGACCAGGTCAGCACCGGGCAGCCACCCGCGCGGGGCCGGCGGGCGCGAGGCTCTTGGACCTGACCGACCGCGTCATGGGTGGTTAGTACTGGAAGCGCGAGGGGCGGCCCGGGCCCGTAGAACTTCCTCCTCTCCCTCGGTGGCTTTAATCTGTTTTTGCGGTCCGGCTTCGCCGCGTCGTCGTGCGGGGGCGTTCCGAGGGCGTTCCCATGGCAACTCCCACTGCGGCCTGCATCAGCAGCTGCTGCTGCAGCCGCCAGGCGCTCGGTGAGAGCACCCCCTGGGAGGGCGGATCCCGTACGCCGAGGGAGGGAAGACTAACACCGCCCCACCCCGCCCCGCTCCGCCCCTCATCGGCCCATTTCGCCCTCCTCACACGCCGTATCTTACCGTTTGTTGACAATTCCAACGTATGACTTACTTGTTGCCCTTGTGCGAAACGTGAGTGCGGGTGAGGGTCACGTTCCCGGAGTAGGGCAAGAGAGGGGGGCGACTCGGACGTGCACACGGATGGATCTGGAAGGTGGACGACTGGACGGCGGCGGCGATGCGGGATGATGAAAGGCCGCGGGGATGACGTTTCCGCCAGTCGGTCGGCCGGAGGGAAGTCTTTGCGCGCCAAGTGCTTGCGCGCCCGCCCGCCAGAGCGCGCCAGGAGGGCGCCCCGGCGTGGCGTGGCGTGGTGTGGCGCGGCGCGGCGCTGCGACTCACAACAGCTGGGGCACGACGTCGACCGGCAGACACCCGAGACCCAAACCGCCGCCGCCGCGTCGCCTCTCGCATCAGCCAGCTCGCGTGCTCGCCCCGACGCACCCAGAGCCCGACTATGGTGGTGATCAACTTGAACGGCAGCAACTCGCCGACCGAGGAGGCCGGTGAGCCCATGTCGCCCGTCGGTGTGCGCGACGACGACGACGGCGTCGTCCCGCGCGGACGCGTCTCCCGCACCATAGACAGGCTCTCGCCGACCAACTACCAGGTAGGCGTCGGCGTCGATGGCGTGGACGAGTGCATGGCGCCAGGAGGCGGCTGCGAGGCCCTATGGTTTGTTTGGACCAAGTGTTTACGGTGTTTACCTCGACGACAACGCCGTCGACGCCCCAGGATCCTCGGCAAGGTCGGCGTCGACGGCGAGCATCACGCTTGTTGCTCACGCGGTTCCGCCCCCTCCCGCCCCTCGTGGGTAAAATTGGCCATGTTTTGGTTACGTTTCACGCCCCTAGTCCCCGTGAAGCTCGTTCAGTACATATAAAGAGTAGAGCCCCGAAACTTAGCGTCGACATTGCTGGAAATGTCGAGTGTCACACCCGGCTGGGACTACGCAGCAGCGCCGCCGGCGACTTTGTTTTGAAAAGTGAACTTGTTTTGGCTGTTTCGGCAGCCGCGTCCGTTTGACTGTCGACTTTCCTCCTCTCCTCGCGGTTTGGCCAGGCGGGCCAGGCTCGGCAATCGAATGCCAAGGTCGCCTCCGCCTGCCTGGCGGCGTGTGGAGCGGCCGGTAGTGTTGATGTTGATGCTGTGTCACGCAGCGCTTGCGGGCTCACTCAGTTTTGAATGGGGAGAAAACGGTGGCGCGACGTGGAGCCAATTGGGCAATGATTATAGGTGGCTTGCTCTTCTCTTGCCAAAAATGATAAACCTGACATTTAGCAAAGCACCTCTAGCAGTACATGGGCCACATTGGTGGGACCAGGCGAGGGCCCGGGTACTTGGCTGCCTAGCTCGTGGGGTAGCGCCCGGGCCCGGGAGGTGGCTTTGTTGATAGGGGGGGCGGGGGGGGGGGTAGCGCCCGGGCCCGGGAGGTGGCTTTGTTGATAGGGTTGCACTGCAACTGTCCTCCTCACTCCTGATAACGTGGAAAATGTTTGCAGTCAACTTCCTGAAATTGTTTTCGCTATGGCGAGCCTCGATCTCGGACGCGTCTTACTCGAGTCCCGAACGGCCAAGACTGCTTGGAAATACATGGGTCGGGACAAACACGGGGAACATATCCTTCGAGCCCCTGATAGTAATCGGAATGATTAGGCTCTCCGTCCTTCCGGTTTACTCACTTCCGCTCCAAAAAGTCGGACGGGGCGGGGGCTATACAATAGCATTTCTCTAACTGAAGCATTCAGCCATACTTCACATTTTGTTCATCAGACTACTTGTTACAAATTCTTTCGTTGGTTGGGCAATTGCAAGGCACAATCCCGTTCCTGTTTCCACTCTAAAAGTTGTGCTCGTACTTTGTTTCTAGATGCGTGGTCACCAGCGGGTGCCGTCAGGGTCCCGGGAGTTCAAGGAGCTCACGAAGCGCGACGCGCAGACCCAGCTGGCTCACGAGCTAGAGGGGCTGCTGGCCACCACCGTCGACGACGAGACCAAGCGCTCCGTGGAGCAGGAGTTCCAGGGCTTCAAGCGGCTCTTCGAGCGTTTCCTGCTCGACAAGGACTCTACCATCTCCTGGGATCGGATCCAGAAGCTGCCCGAGAATGCGGTATGTTGAGGCCGAGGCCTGCCTGTGTATGTGTGCGTGTATTTTCTACATCGCCATGATAATTTTAATTCAAATTCTAGTAAGATTGCATTCATTAGCTCGCTTTTGACGTTTATTTATATTGACTTAACAGTCGAGTGCTAGAGGCAACTCTCTAGCCAATCTTTACTTGCAAGCCTTTGTGTTGGTGGGTTAGACTAAGACACTCCAGGCGCTCGAGTCCGGTCCTTGCCCTCCAAGGGCCCCGGCTGCAGCCTCAAGGTCTCGGGGTTGACGAACTGCTGGCAATTAGCTCGCCTCTTGGCGCATCACCTGCAGTGGTGCAGAGTGCGAGTGCAAGTGCGAGAGAGACGGCTGTGTGGGGTTGCCGCCGGACCATCACTCTCCCCCTTTCTCACCGACTCTGTCTTCCCCTTCTGCCCGTCCAGGTTCGCGACCACAGCACGCTTAAGGAGCCCGCGTCCGAGCAGCTGCACGCGATGCTCAACAAGCTGGTCGTCGTCAAGCTCAACGGTGGCTTGGGCACCTCTATGGGCTGCCACGGCCCCAAGTCCGTGATCCCCGTGCGCTCCGAGCTCACCTTCCTCGACCTGACTGTCCAGCAGATTGAGGTGAGTGAGATATTTGGAGCACATAAGTTGACTGTAAAATGAGTCGAACAAATTTTGAAACCCGCTGTCGATTTTCAGTACCTGAACAAGAAGTACCAAGTTGACGTCCCGCTCGTCTTGATGAACTCGTTCAACACCGATGCCGACACGCAGAAGATCGTGCGCAAGTACCGCGGCCTGCAGGTGAAGATCTACACGTTCAACCAGAGCTGCTACCCGCGCATCAACAAGGAGTCGCTCATGCCCATCGCGCGGAACTGCGACGTGGAGAACGACATCGATGCGTGAGTAACCCGGCCTTCCCCCTGTTGCCCGGAGCTTAGGCAACCCATCGTGCCTGGCGCGTTGGTGGGAGGCCCGCCCGCCCGGCTTGGGTTCGCTGTGTGGGTGCACCCTTTGAATGAACCGCCGTCTTTTTGAACAGGTGGTATCCTCCTGGTCACGGCGACTTTTACGAGAGCTTCAAAAACTCTGGTCTTTTGAAGAAATTCCTAGAGGAGGTAAATTATTCGTGTACAATAGTAATGGTTTAAAGGTAATGTTTGACACACATTTGAGAGTGTTTTTTTTTTTCTGTTTAGGGTCGGGAGTATGTTTTTATTTCGAATATAGATAATCTTGGTGCAACTGTTGATCTGAGCATTGCTGATCTGCTTCTCCACACCGATGAGAAATCACCAGAGTTTGTGATGGAAGTGACAGATAAAACACGTGCTGATGTTAAAGTAAGTACTTGTCTGTTAGCTTTCTTTCAGTTTTTTTTTTTTTTTGTAACATGTTAATTTAATCCTAACACACCCTATTTTACAGGGTGGTACTCTCATTCAATATGAGAATAAGCTCAGGCTTCTTGAAATAGCACAAGTTCCGAAAGAGCATGTAGAGGACTTTAAATCTGTTAAGACCTTCAAATTCTTCAACACCAACAATCTTTGGGTTAAACTTAGTGGTAGGCTTTTTATCATGTGTACCAATAATTCAAGGAAGATTATACTGAGCATTGTTTTGATTTCTTGGTTTTCTATTTACAGCCATTGACAGAGTATTGTCTGAAAATTCTATGAATATAGAAATTATTGTGAACAACAAATCCCTTGATAACGGTCTTAACGTTATACAGTTAGAAACAGCTGTTGGTGCAGCTATGAAGTCCTTTGAAGGAGGCATAGGTAAGATAACTCAATGTCAGATTTCAAAATATAAAAATAAAAGTAGAATAACTTCTTTACATCTGTTAATTTTGTTTTTCAGGTATTAATGTTCCTCGCCGAAGATTCCTTCCTGTGAAAAAGACATCTGACTTGTTGCTGGTTATGAGCAATCTCTACAGCTTGCAGAATGGGTCTCTTGTTATGAACCCTGAAAGGATGTTCCTCACAACTCCTCTTGTTAAACTTGGAGATAACCACTTTGCAAAGGTAGATACATTTTACAATAGTTTAATATACGTAGTTGCTTAACAAAAATGTCTCATTCTTGTAAATTATATTCTCAGGTCAAGGAGTTTCTAGCCAGATTTGCAAACAGCCCGAATATTATTGAGTTGGATCATCTCACTGTGTCGGGTGATGTTACATTTGGAAGAGGAGTTGTGTTGAAGGTGAGTTTATGTTTACTTTGCAAACATTCTTTGGCCCACCTTATTTGTAAGAGAAAAAAAACCTGATTCATTGTATTTTGCAGGGAACTGTTATTATCATTGCCAATCATGGAGACAGAATTGATATTCCAGCCGGAGCTGTTCTTGAAAACAAAATTGTATCAGGAAATCTTAGAATCTTGGATCACTAAATCTCTAATACTGTTTTAGAAATTTGCTATTGTTATAATTGTTAGTCAAGCTTATAAGCTATTTAAATATGAACTGGTAGCTTCCCGTGTGCTGTATCCTAAAAGGCTTCACACCAGTCTTTTGTTTGTTTTTCTTTTAAAGTGTTTTTTGTTTTACAAATTGTAATTTTTATAGATCTTTTAAAGTTGTTAAATTTTTTAAATATGTTATATCGTATCCTAGTATGTCAACTTTGATTCGTCATTTCTATGAGGTTTTTTAATTGAATCACAAGCAAATCGTTTTGTCAAGTATTACAAGTGTGTGTACAATGAAAATAAATATGTATTTTGTTACTTTTTGATTTTGTTTTGTAAGCTCCTTCTGTGGTTTTGGAAAGTCAGAAAGAAATGAACACAGTTCCTCCAGAATTGGGTTGGAAAACTGAAATATGTTTATTTAACCAGACATGAGATTTTTTAAAGCTTTGGCTTAATGGTTCTTTGTGAACCTAGGGCTGGAGGCATTTCATTATCAAAATT